TAAGACTTTTAAGAGCAAAGTGGAAAAGTAAAAAGTAGTTGACTGAAATTTTAAGTACATTGACAACACTTTAGCATATTAATAGAAGCCTTAACATTTATTTTGAAGTAAAGCAATAAAAGAAGGTTTCTGAAATTATTACAAACGTGTATTGTGAAATTGATTCAAAAATGTTTAAATTATCTTAATAAACGATAGGGGGGGAAAAAAAGCAAAGTTCTAACCTTGATTTCATAGCATTTAGGTTTGATGCTGGAAAGATGTAAAGTTGCTAAAAAACATTTTGGGGAAAGGACAAACTTTATATCCACAAAAATATTTTTTTTCAAGAGAAAGGGTATATATTTACAAAAAAATTGTGTTTTCACCAGAGTCGTCTTATTTTTCGAAAGTAAAGTTGTAATATTATGATATTAAAGTTGAACCATGTAAGTAAGTCATGTTTTAACTTGCTTATTTTAACAACTGAATGAAAAAACCCCAAAAGACTTTATTCTGTAAAAATTAAGGGTCGTATATTTCGTTTTTGGTCATGATAAAAAGTCCTAATGTTACAAGAAGAAAGTTGTGTTTTTCCAAGCTAAAAATCACAATATCGTGATATTAAATACGAATAAATTGCAAGAATACAATTTTGCTCTCAGAATTTGTACACCTCCTTATATTGAAAGATACTTTAATTTCGCCTCCGTCGTATTTTTTCAGGAAAAAAATTGCAATCTTTGCAAGAACAAAGACATATTTTGTCAGGATTGAAAGCCATAATGTAATATTATGATAATAAACACAAAGTAAATGAGTGCAGAAAGTCATATTTTAGCCAGCACTTTCAAAAAAATGACAAAAAAATAATTTGCTAATTATTTCTCGGACCCCCATGGTATGTTTCTGGGACCCCTGATGTGTCTTGGGCCGCATTTTGAGCACTACTGGCCTAAATACGTGCACCACCTCCGCCTCAACGTCTTGTGTCACGACATGCCCCGGCATCTTTTTTCCTCCTCCTTGGTCTGCGTCACCGTGATGAGTGGAAAAAGTCATCAGAGGACGGAGGCCGGCGGAGAGACGACGTTTGTCTCGATGACGTCACGGAAGCCGCCTGCTCGACCGGCCGGGCCGCTCTCCGCCGCAGCGGCGCGCCTTTCGCGACGTGCACGCCCTCCTTTGCGTAATCTCTAACGTGGGATCTCCTGCCACCGACCACACTATTGCAAAGGAATGGCTGACTGCCTTTGGGGAATCAGACGGGCCGTCTTCAGAACAGGGTTAGGAGGCTTTCGAAATTTTTCTTTTAACGAAGGTTGCATTTTGGTTTGACTTTTTTTTAATTTGAATTTTTGTTTGTTGTGATTAGGTTTTAGAGCAAGTTTGTTAATGATTATTAGTTTTTATTTTTTCAAAAATTCTGCACTTTAGTTATTTTTATTAGTTTTAGTGTTAGTTTTAGTTTTTTTTTTTTTTTTTAAATACATGGACTATTAGTGAAGTACAAAATAGGAAAAAAAAAAATCCCAAAACAAAACAAACAGGTCACTAAGTGTTGCGTAAAAAAGTAAAGAACGGTCTGAACATGTAGTAATGACAGTGAAAGTCTGCTAAATCCCCAAATATCCAGGAATGTGTTAGCCACTTCATATGTGGAAACACCATTTTTGTTGTGAAATATCTCATGTATTTTAGTCAACAGAGACTCTTCACACTTTGCTTTTTGGTCACAGGTACAAATGAAATGAGAGTTAAAGGGTCAGTTTATAGAAATGTTTGATTTTTCAACGTTAATTCATTTTAACCCCCCACCCCCCCAAAAAAAACCAGTTTGATTCAAAAAAGTATTTACT